GCCAAAATCCGCACGTTCCTAACCCCAGAAACCACTAAACAGCTCATCCACTCCCTCATCATATCACGACTCGACTACTGCAACTCCCTCCTCACTGGCCTGCCTCGCCACAGGCTATCCCCACTTCAGTCAATCCTGAACACGGCAGCCAGACTCATTCACCTCACCAACCGCTCCATTTCCGCCACCCCCCTCTGCCAATCCCTCCACTGGCTTCTGATTGCACAACGGATCAAATTCAAAATCCTAACAATGACATACAAAGCTGTCCATCATACTGCCCCAAACTACTTTACCGACTTAATATCCAAGTACCACCCAGCACGCACACTCCGCTCCTCACAAGACCTCCTTCTCTCTAGTTCCCTGGTCTCCTCCTCCCATGCCTGCCTCCAGGATTTCTCCAGGACATCGCCTATCCTCTGGAACTCCCTACCCCAATCCATCAGACTATCACCTACTCTCCTCTCCTTTAGGCGCACCCTGAAAACCCATCTCTTCAGGGAAGCCTACCCCACCCCCTGCTAACTTGCCAACCTCCTCCACTCTTCCTACCACTCCATCCCCCACAGCTATCTCCTCCCGTACCACTATCTGCTCCCTCCTAGATTGTAAGCTCCAAGGAGCAGGGCCCTCAAACCCCTCGTGTATCGCATTGTATTGTTATTGTACTGTCACATGTTCTGTCTCCCATTGTAATGTACAGCGCTGAGCAAACTGTTGGCGCTTTATAAATACTGTATAATAATATGTGAAGATGAAAACCCCATAATGCGTGTGTATGCTAAGCATATTTGCACATTAAGGCAGGAGCTCCTAGAGGACCACAAATGTTTTGCAATTTACACTCCCTAATGCATTTTGATTAAATTGTCTTTGCCAAGCTGTTTATTTGTACATGCATGTCTAAAAACAATAACTGAAAATTATACATTAATTTGAAATAGCAGAGAGAAACTAATGTAACCAACACTGGAATTAGAAAAGCCACCTTAACTGAACAGAGATTGCCTGTCCTTTGAGACCCTAATAGCCCAGACAAAGATTCACTCAGACTGATGTACCTATTCTAGTCTAACAATAGACTTGATTGATGGCTGCAAACCCGACCGATATAGCGTAACATATTCTGGCTTCCTGTCCTACCCACAAAACCACCCTAATTATCATCTTGTTTCCAATCCAGAAATGCATTTCTGATGTCAAAGATTAGTTTTATTTATTGCTTCTGCAACTTCTGCATTGCTATGAGATTAAAGCCATGTTTATTAAGGTTGGTAGCATATGAATTTTAAATTCAAGGGAAAAAAAAACAATAAATAAGTAGAAACAGCACAAAAAATGACAATGCTCTGTAGACAAAACTTCCCATCCTTCTGCTTGTGTATAAGGGTCAGTACTTTTCCTGCACCAATCTTGAAGTCAAAATACAGATATCTATTGCAACAGAAGGTTCAACTTTGGTTAGATCCTACCAAATATTATGGGTAAGGGAATACTGGAGCTAAAGTTTCTGATCAGGTGGTTATAATATTGGATGTCCCTCCCACATAGCTATCACTTTTATCGGAGGCCAGCAAGGCCTGCAAAACAATTACACCAATGGAGTACGTAAGAATATACATTACATTTTGCCATATTGCGTGCAGTTTATTGGGAGGGGGTTGTTTTTCAACCAAATAGTAGTTTAACTTAAATTATATACCTGTTTAAACACATGAGCTGACTCTCTTTGTCTGTTTGTTGAGAATATCAACTGGTTGAGGAAAAAAATATTTTAAGATGTAAAATGGCCAGACCATTGCATATGGCTAAGAAGGCCCATTTTTGGACATAACCTAACATGCTGTACTGCAATCCTAAACCTACTACATACGGACCAAAAATACTGCTTTTGAAGTGATCTTACAATAATCTGATTGTTAGTTCACAGCTTTCATCTGAAATTATTAGAAGGGACAAACAAAAACATTTTTTCTGTATGATACCAGATCATTTCGTTTAACCAGTACAGGATTCATTCGAAAAAAAATTGAAAGAATGAGACCACACATGCTCAGAAAGAATGTATTACAATACAATACAACACATCACATCACTTCTGAAGTTGTATTCTGTTGTAGGAGAATGAAGTGGATGTAATACAGGCTGAACATACATAAATTTAACTTCTTGCCAACCACAGATAGCTGAATGATGGCTACACTGTGGCCGTCTAGTTCTGGGAGGGCGTCATATGACATCCTCCCAGAACGCGCTCTCCTGCGCGCCCCCAGGGGCGCGCACCCGGTGATCTCCATGATCGCTGTGTCCTACGGACACAGCCGATCATGTGATGTGGTAAAAATCCAATCACAGCGGCCTTTTACCACGTGATCAGCCGCGTCCAATGACACGCTGATCACCGGGAAATGCAATTGCCGGTTCTCGGCTGCACTTTCCTCATGCTGTCAGAGCGCGAGGAAAGTACTGCTGAGAACTGGCAGTTGTTAGAGCAGGTATCGGCACCGATCATCAGGGCACTGATGATCAGTGCCTTGATGATCGGTGCCCAGCAGTGCCACCCACCAGTTCCGCCCACCTGTGCCCAGCAGTGCCGCCCACCAGTGCCCAGCGGTGCCACCCACCAGTGCCCAGCAGTGCCACCCAGCAGTGCACCCACCTGTGCCCAGCAATGCCACCTACCTGTGCCCAGAAGTGCCACCTACCTGTGCCCAGCAGTGCCACCCACCTGATCCCACCAGTGCCACCCACCTGTGCCCACCAGAGCCACCCACCAGTGCCCATCAATGCAGTGCTGCCAGTCAGTGCCCAGCGGTTGTGCCAGTCAGTGCCCATCAGTTGTGCCAGTCAATGCCTAGCAATGATGCCAGCCAGTGTCACCTATCAGTGCTATTAGTACCCATCATCAGTGCCGCCTATCAGTGCCACCTATTAGTGCTGCCTATCAGCGCCGCCTATCCGTGACACCTCATTAGTGCTGCCTATCAGTGCCGCCTATCCGTGCCACCTCATTAGTGCTGCCTATCAGTGCTGCCTATCAGTGCCCATCAGTGCCGCCTATCAGTGCCCATCAGTGAAGGAGAAAATTTACCTGCTTGAAAAATTTTATAATAGAAACAAAGAAAACCCTTTTTTTTTTTTTAATTTTTTGCAATTTTTTTGTTTATAGCGCGAAACGTAAAGTGCCCAGCAGCGATTAAATACCACCAAAAGAAATCTCTATTTGTGAGAAAAATATTATAAATATTTCATATGGGTACAATGTTGCATGACCACGCAATTGTCAATCAAAGTGCGGCAGCGCTGAAAGCTGAAAATTGGCCTGGTAAGGAAGGGGGTATAAGTGCCTGGTAGGCAAGTGGTTAAGTAAGGTAATGTAACAAAAATCCAAAATCTGCTCTATCTTCCTGCATTTGCTGTGTACATGGCAATAAACCTACCTCTGAATAATCTTTTATTCTTGCATGCAACAGAGATTATAACTCATGTATATTCTTAAGGTCCACTAATATTAAATATTTCTTGCTGAACATTTCTTCAAAAGCTTAAAGCATATCTCTAGCCAAAAGTGTTTTTCGCTGTTTTTGGATGGAGTGTGAAGGGCATGAAACCCCTGTCAGGCCTTTATGGTTGTCTCTGTCTTCATCAGAGAGATTCATCCTATCTATTTGCCCTGCTGACCAAAGACTTGTTCAATCCTCTTCTGGAGATATTTCCTTTCACTTCTTGATTTCTCCCTGGCACAAAATGCTAGAAGAAAAACAAACAACAGGGGTTCTAAACATTCATTACTCTATCCGAAATGAAAAGAACCCATTTTTGTTGCTTTTTAATCCTGTCAGCCCCTTCTTGTTTTCCATCTGCTATATACTGTATACCTCTCTATATATATCTCAGATCAGCAAGCAGCCTGTAACACAGCCTATGCTAAAATGGCTGACACTCCGCTGGTTGGGCAGCTTGCTACCCATGCTCAGCCTTTTCTCCATAGGCCCCAATGGAGAAATTGTCAAGTCTAAAAGGAAATGTCATAGTCCAGCACTGAGAAATTTACTGAATGGGTTCATTAATCATTTATACACTCAACTATTAATGTATGGGATGGCAGGTTAAACACACTTCTACGTGAAACACAGTTCATATATCCAACTTGTTATCTTTGTCATGTACAGGTTGGAATGCTTTTCCAACAATAGCAACTAAAACATACCCAAAGTATTCTAATATATCCGATAAAGTAATGCATGACATCATAAAGGTTCGAAGAAGCTTTATTTACTTTAATCATTCAGCAATATGCTGGAGAAAATGTTCTTAAAACTGAACTACAGGAACAAAAGATTTCTCTTTATTTTTCTAAACATCCCAAATGACATAAATCTATTATGTGTGCACCAAATAACTTTGAAAATCTAGATACCTTGAACAGTATGCCTTATAAGGAGGCCATTGAGTGGGGGTGAAGATAGGTACAGTGTCCTGTTTTGATTAGGGGGTGCTGCAGGGGACCCCAAACCTCATCTGGAAACATGTTGTGGATTGAGAGACTCCAGGTAGTGAAAAAAAACAGGTAAGCACTGATACCTGTTTCTTAACTGGCGAATACGAGTACCAATACTTGAGCCCAAGTACTAAATACCTATACCAGGGCTTAAAATTTCAAGTCCTGAGCTACTAGTGATGCTCAAGTCCTGAACTACTAGCCAGGACTTAGAGTTACTTGCCACCAACAAATACACACAAACAGAGACACCTGTACACACACACAGACATGTACATACACACACATACACACACAGAAACATGTACACACACGCACAGAGACACATGTACACACACATACACATACAGACACATGTATACACACACAGGCACGTACAGACATGCATACACACAGATACATGTACATACACAGAAATATACACGCACAGACACATGTACATACACACAGACACATGTACATACATACACAGACACATGTACACACAGACACAAGTATGTACATACACACACATACAGACACACACGTACATACACACACAGACACATGTACACACACATACATGTACATACACGCAAACACATGTACAGATACACACATATACATACAAACAGACACATGTACAATTGTACATGCATACACAGACACACACAAACACACAGACATGTACATGTACACCCCCCCCCCCATAAAAAGTTGCAGTACTTCGTTGTTCACTCACAGAGCCGGGTACTGCACTCTAGGGGGAGGCAGAGAGCACAGCACACACTCCTCTTTGCTTTGCTTTCACTGCACTCAGCTATTGAGCAGTCTGACGGCTCCCAGTGCCAATGACAGCTCCGGCCTGAGCTCCAAGCCTGCTCAGCAAGACAACCCTGGGGGACACACTCGCCCCACCATAATTTCCACTTGCCATTGGCGAGCAGGAGAGTGGAAATTTCAAGCCCTGACTATACCATTGCGGTGCAATTTTAGCCCATAAAAAACGAATGGGCTCAAACTGCACTTCAAAGAATTGAATGTGATTTGAATAGGAATGAGGAATGATTCCTGTCCAAATCACATGTGGTTTCTCGCACCACTCTTGTGTGAACCCAAGCTAAAGCCACTATGACAAGCCTGGGTTCACATAGGAGCGGAGGGTGAAATCGCATGTGATTTCGACAGGACGCTCACTGCATTCCTATTCAAATCACATGAAATTATTTGCAGTTTAATTTGAGCCCATTCATTTTGTATGGGCTCAAATTGCACCTATAAGGTATTGATTTTAGGTATCGGAACATTTGCACTAGTACTCGTGCAAATGGTTAGTATCGGCACCGATACCGGTGTCGGTATCAGTGCAACCCGAGAAAAAACTGTACTTTTTAGGAACTACACGCTCTACTGCTCTCCTTCCAGCCTAAAGTGCAGATTTGTTTTCTCTTCACGGGAAATCATAAAGTCATGGGTAGTCGAGAGAAAGTACCTGCATAGTTCATCTAGGAAGTCATGAGTTACAGGGGCTTGGCAAATAAGGAAAACAATCTCTGGATGTACTCTTTTATGAAAAGAGTGAATATTCGTATCCAGAACCTGCATGTACTGTTGAATTATTTATGTATTTATTTATTTAGGCTATTAACCAGCTTGACTTCCAAAACACAGGGTAAAAGGCTGTAAGAAATTCATATTTTCATCACTGGTTTCTAAATTTTATTGACAGTGTTTAAAGGATTTCCAGAAAAGAACTGCAGGGTTGTGCTGCATTTCTCTTTTTGTAATATCATTTAAGCACCTATTGACTACAACCCTCCTACATATCATGTTGGGCAGCTCAATGATGGTGATTGATAGAGATGAGCGAATCGAAGTAGGCGAAGTGGAATTCGTTTCGAATATTAGGAAAAATTTCGATTCGCGTCGAATCCGAAAATAAGCAGACTTCGGATGCGCGAATCGAAATTTTTCCTAAAATGGTGGCGACATGTGCGGCGACGGAGCGGGGATGTCTGGGAAGGCGCGCAGACAAGGCGCGCTGACCCATAATGCATTCATTCATGACATGTAATCGCATTAGCCAATCAGCAGCCAGCCAGCCAGCATAGTGTAATGGTCGAGCTATAAATGGCGGCCATTTTAGAATTCTCCATTTGCCTCCAGTCATTCAACAGAGGCAGACCTGGCTGTATTCAGGGAGAGAGTTAGGGACAGAGAAACGTTACTTAGGGACACAGAAACGTTAGTTAGGGCCACAGAATCGTTACTTAGGGCCAGAGAAACGTTACTTAGGGCCACAGAAACGTTACTTAGGGCCACAGAATCGTTAGTTAGGGCCACAGAAACGTTACTTAGGGCCACAGAATCGTTACTTAGGGCCAGAGAAACGTTACTTAGGGCCACAGAAACGTTACTTAGGGCCACAGAATCGTTAGTTAGGGCCACAGAAACGTTACTTAGGGACACAGAATTGTTACTCAGGGACAGACAGAATTGTTACTGAGGGATACAGAATTGTTACTGAGGGCCACAGAATCGTTACTTAGGGCCACAGAAACGTTACTTAGGGCCACAGAATTGTTACTTAGGGACAGACACAGAATTGTTACTGAGGGGACACAGAATTGTTATTGAGGGCCACAGAATCGTTACTTAGGGCCACAGAAACGTTACTTAGGGCCACAGAAACGTTACTTAGGGCCACAGAATTGTTACTTAGGGACAGACACAGAATTGTTACTGAGGGACACAGAATTGTTACTGAGGGCCACAGAAACGTTACTTAGGGCCACAGAAACGTTACTTAGGGCCACAGAATTGTTACTCAGGGACAGACACAGAATTGTTACTGAGGGACACAGATTTGTTACTGAGGGCCACAGAAACGTTACTTAGGGCCACAGAAACGTTACTTAGGGCCACAAATCGTTAGTTAGGGCCACAGAAACGTTACTTAGGGACACAGAATTGTTACTCAGGGACAGACACAGATTTGTTACTGAGGGATACAGAATTGTTACTGAGGGCCACAGAATCGTTACTTAGGGCCACAGAAACGTTACTTAGGGCCACAGAATCGTTAGTTAGGGCCACAGAAACGTTACTTAGGGACACAGAATTGTTACTCAGGGACAGACACAGAATTGTTACTGAGGGATACAGAATTGTTACTGAGGGCCACAGAATCGTTACTTAGGGCCACAGAAACGTTACTTAGGGCCACAGAATTGTTACTTAGGGACAGCCACAGAATTGTTACTTAGGGACAGACACAGAATTGTTATTGAGGGACACAGAATTGTTACTGAGGGCCACAGAACCGTTACTTAGGGCCACAGAAACGTTACTTTAGGGCCACAGAATTGTTACTTAGGGACAGACACAGAATTGTTACTGAGGGACACAGATTTGTTACTGAGGGCCACAGAAACGTTACTTAGGGCCACAGAAACGTTACTTAGGGCCACAGAATTGTTACTTAGGGCTACAGACACAGAATTGTTACTTAGGGACACAGAATTGTTACTGAGGGCCACAGAAAACGTTACTTAGGGCCACAGAATTGTTACTTAGGGCCACAGAACCGTTACTTAGGGCCACGGAAACGTTACTTAGGGACACAGAATTGTTACTCAGGGACAGACACAGAATTGTTACTGAGGGATACAGAATTGTTACTGAGGGACACAGAACCGTTACTTAGGGCCACAGAAACGTTACTTAGGGCCACAGAAACGTTACTTAGGGCAACAGAATTGTTACTTAGGGACAGACACAGAATTGTTACTGAGGGACACAGATTTGTTACTGAGGGCCACAGAAACGTTACTTAGGGCCACAGAAACGTTACTTAGGGCCACAGAATCGTTACTTAGGGCCACAGAAACGTTACTTAGGGCCACAGAATTGTTACTTAGGGACAGACACAGAATTGTTACTGAGGGACACAGATTTGTTACTGAGGGACACAGAATCGTTACTTAGGGCCACAGAAACGTTACTTAGGGCCAAAGAAACGTTACTTAGGGCCACAGAATTGTTACTTAGGGACAGACACAGAATTGTTATTGAGGGACACAGAATTGTTACTGAGGGCCACAGAACCGTTACTTAGGGCCACAGAAACGTTTACTTAGGGCCACAGAATTGTTACTTAGGGGACAGACACAGAATTGTTACTGAGGGACACAGATTTGTTACTGAGGGCCACAGAAACGTTACTTAGGGCCACAGAAACGTTACTTAGGGCCACAGAATTGTTACTTAGGGACAGACACAGAATTGTTACTGAGGGACACAGATTTGTTACTGAGGGCCACAGAAACGTTACTTAGGGCCACAGAAACGTTACTTAGGGCCACAGAATCGTTAGTTAGGGCCACAGAAACGTTACTTAGGGACACAGAATTGTTACTCAGGGACAGACACAGAATTGTTACTGAGGGATACAGAATTGTTACTGAGGGCCACAGAATCGTTACTTAGGGCCACAGAAACGTTACTTAGGGCCACAGAAACGTTACTTAGGGCCACAGAATTGTTACTTAGGGACAGACACAGAATTGTTATTGAGGGACACAGAATTGTTACTGAGGGCCACAGAATTGTTACTGAGGGCCACAGAATCGTTACTTAGGGCCACAGAAACGTTGCTTAGGGCCACAGAAACGTTACTTAGGGCCACAGAATTGTTACTTAGGGACAGACACAGAATTGTTACTGAGGGACACAGAATTGTTACTGAGGGCCACAGAAACGTTACTTAGGGCCACAGAAACGTTACTTAGGGCCACAGAATTGTTACTTAGGGACAGACACAGAATTGTTACTGAGGGACACAGATTTGTTACTGAGGGCCACAGAAACGTTACTTAGGGCCACAGAAACGTTACTTAGGGCCACAGAAACGTTACTTAGGGCCACAGAATTGTTACTTAGGGACAGACACAGAATTGTTACTGAGGGACACAGAATTGTTACTGAGGGCCACAGAACCGTTACTTAGGGCCACGGAAACGTTACTTAGGGAAACAGAATTGTTACTCAGGGACAGACACAGAATTGTTACTGAGGGATACAGAATTGTTACTGAGGGACACAGAACCAAGAACCGTTACTTAGGGCCACAGAAACGTTACTTAGGGCCACAGAAACGTTACTTAGGGCAACAGAATTGTTACTTAGGGACAGACACAGAATTGTTACTGAGGGACACAGATTTGTTACTGAGGGCCACACAGAAACGTTACTTAGGGCCACAGAAACGTTACTTAGGGCCACAGAATCGTTACTTAGGGCCACAGAAACTTTACTTAGGGCCACAGAATTGTTACTTAGGGACAGACACAGAATTGTTACTGAGGGACACAGAATTGTTACTGAGGGCCACAGAACCGTTACTTAGGGCCACAGAACCGTTACTTAGGGACACAGAATTGTTACTCAGGGACAGACACAGAATTGTTACTGAGGGATACAGAATTGTTACTGAGGGACACAGAAACGTTACTTAGGGCCACAGAAACGTTACTTAGGGCCACAGAATTGTTACTTAGGGACAGACACAGAATTGTTACTGAGGGACACAGAATTGTTAGTTAGGGCCACAGAACCGTTACTTAGGGCCACAGAAACGTTACTTAGGGACACAGAATTGTTACTCAGGGACAGACACAGAATTGTTACTGAGGGATACAGAATTGTTACTGAGGGACACAGAACCGTTACTTAGGGCCACAGAAACGTTACTTAGGGCCACAGAAACGTTACTTAGGGCTACAGAAACGTTACTTAGGGCCACAGAATCGTTACTTAGGGCCACAGAATCGTTACTTAGGGACACAGAAACGTTAGTTAGGGCCACAGAATTGTTACTTAGGGACAGACACAGAATTGTTACTGAGGGATACAGAATTGTTACTGAGGGACACAGAACCGTTACTTAGGGCCACAGAAAACGTTACTTAGGGCCACAGAAACGTT